GTTTCTAGCATAGTGTGGGAAATTTTAATAAAAGGTGTAAATTATGGTACTTTCTGCAACTAAATTTTTCACAAACGTGAGATGAATAAACTCTCAAAATTACTCTGATGAAATGACTTCTTCCAAGACACTGCAGAGTATATTCTAGTACACTGAAAAAATTAATTAACCTTACCTATAGCAACCTCACCCCTCAACCGTGGTGGTACGTTTGAACTGTCAGGTTAATCTTCTGTACCTTAATTTACATCTAAGTGAAAAAAAGGCCCAAAACCACTGCTATTGAGTCAATTCTGACTCATAGTGGCCCTATATGACAGAGTGGAACTGCCCCAGCTATAGTCTTGACAGGAGCACACTGTCAGGCCTTTTCTCCCATGGAGCTTCTGGTGGGTTCAAACCGTCAGCCTTTAGGTTAGCAGCCAAGTGCTTAACCATGGTACCACCAGAGTTCCCTATAAAATCTTACAGAAGCAGATTCTGCATCTCTGTCCTGTGGAGTAGCTACTGGATTCTAACTGCTGACCTTCTGATTAGCAGTAAAGTGCTTTAACCACTGCACCAGCAAGGCTCCCACATCTAAGTGAGGGTGATCTAGATTACACTGAAGCCATTGTCTTGTGCCATTTCTACAGACATTCCACTCACGTTCAAATGTATGAATCTCCTTTTTAAAAATGGCAGATCTCTGATATTACTAGGGTTTAGACAACACTGCTGTCACCATCATAGGTCCAAACACAGCCACAATAAGGGGATAGACACAGACTGTAATGCTACTGTCTGGAACTATCAAGAATATAACTCTGAGAAATGCTATGGAGTACAATGGGTTTCTCTGTACAAACAGCCTTTTGATGTTGAGTTTGTAGTTCTGCCAAGATGATTTGTTGGGCCACAAACTTGCAAATGGATCAGTTATTTAACTATGTGAATGAGGTACTGTGGTCTACTGAGGGGATTGGTCAGTTTGTGGCTTTGGTGAGAGGAGTAGGTTTATAAAAACATTGATCCCACAGAGGTTGAAGGAGACCTCACTACCACAAAGAAGAACCTGGAACAGAGAGCATCCCTTGACCTGGGGTCCCTGTGCTGAGAACCTCCTAGACACAGAAGACAGAGAAAGCTGTAACATTGGACGTGGCCCCAGATGGTGCAAGAACCAGAAGATTGGTGCAAGATGGCCATAGGGCACTTCTCAGTTCATGGAGTGAGATGGCTGCTGTGGACTTGCCAACCCATGGAGCTAGAGAGCCAAGCACCTATAGGCAGGATGTTATTTGGTGGAGTGGGATGCCTCCAGGCACTTAACAACAGAGCCAACAGAGCTGTACCACTTCTCTGAGTAGGGGTCAGTGACAGAGGCCAGGCCTGAGCACGGGGCCAAGGGCAGAGGTCAGGCCAAGTGGTGCTTGGCAGCAGAGGCTGGAGCCCAGCCAAGAAGGAGCTGAGAGCTGTCCTGGGTGGAAGCTCTCCTGACTGATGAACCATATCCTGAGCTACATCCTGTTCCTTCCAAGCTGATTGTGATCCCGAGCTGTAGCTTGTTGCTTTACTAAAAAAAACACATAACTGTGAGCATGGCCTCTGAGTTGTGTGTGACCATTGCAAGGAATTACCAATCCCAGCAGAGAAGTAGAGAGTGCCGGGGTGGGGAGGGTATGGCTGGTATCAGAACTGGTAGAAACGTTGGAGGGTGGAAGTATGTTTACCTCCAAATCATAGTCATCAGCTTTGGGCCGATGCTGATGCTCAGTCTCCTTCCTCCTCCTGAAGTCAGAGGACTTCTGATGCTACTAGCTTACAGGTCAGATTTCCAAAGCCTCAGGACCATAAGATCTTGGGGTCAGACTATGGGATAAGATTATGGGAGAATGGCTGGACTTACCAACCCACTCCTCCCTTTTGTTTATCCAAGAGATATGCAAACTTTATACTCAAGTCATTATCAAGAGGCAAAAAAAAAAAAAAAAAATGCCACAATTGCTGAGTTATAACTAGGGCCTCTGGCTACTTGTTGTGGGAGCAATATTTTCCTTTAACCCTGTGATTCTAGAATGTTGGCTAAACTCTTAAGCTGTGGGAGTTTTATTTTTCCTTTGAGAACAGACACACGATTGCCATTTCCATGAAAGACTTCTGAACTAGTCGATAGAAAGAAAGTATTATGAAAAGTAGTAATTATTCTGTGTTGTTTTGACAGAGAATTATTATCATTAATACTTATTATTAATAACAATATACATACTAGTATCAATGATGATGAGGCAACACATTGATATGAATGCATTATGACACAAATAGTGTGGAAGGAAAAAACATTTTCTTCAAAAGATGAAGAAACAATAGCTCTTTGTGGAAAAGATTGCTAGTTCCCTAAAAATGTGTCTCCTCCCTCCCCCTTGTCATTGGCCCAAACACATTCATCTTCCTTTGTTAACAGGTCTCTGATAGTCTTTGTCCTACTGAGTGTGAACTGCCTTCAGTTGGAATTAATCAGAGATGCAATGGTGATGAGGCTATTCCAGACGCTAACAGCCACTACATAAATGCTTCCTTGTTACCACATTGGAGAGGGACATGGTTAGTACAATGGGAGCTAATGATGGAACTCTGGAAGCTATCATTTTAAATCAGGCCATTACTTATGCCACTCTTGTGAACACCAAGCCAGACCCATGCTCTATTTCAGTTTAGCAGGTCCAGGCTTGATCCTGGGCTCAGTGAGGACTGGTGTACAGAGACTTCACATTTCCATTTGGATGCTGGATGTTGGCATGGCATGATCACCAGTCAAGACACGTTCCAAATTGCACAGTGGGCCATGGTGCATTACAGGCCAGCCTTGCAAACAGCCACATGCTTGCTGGCTGCCAAGAGCCAACACTGCTTTCTGGCCAGTGTGGAAACCACCAGAGAGTCAGGGGCTCTCTCCAGGAATTCCTCCCATAGGTGCTTGGGGAACCTCTGTTGCAATCTCAGACATGTTAAGGCTTCTATTCTTATCACTTTATGCACTATCATAAGTGACTTGAACAGGCCACAAGACATAGTTCTTCATAAAGATGCCTAAGAGCGGGGCTCTATTTATCTGTTTCCAAAGGACTGGTCCTTTCACTCCATTGAAAGAAGCCCATCCTCATATGGCAACAGGTTTATCACAGTAGAGAAGGTCTTGGGCTTTGCTGTCCAGTGACTCAGCTCTGAATCTGGCTTTATCACTTTCTACCTATACAGATGCATGAGTTGGCCTTGTTGAGCCCAGCTCAGATTAGCAGAACTACCCATCTGACCAAAGACTTGTGATAACACATAGCTGTTGCTTTAAGTTACAAGTTTTGGAGTGGTTTGTTATGCAAAAATAGCAAACTGATCCAACTGGTTACTCCAGTTTGATTAAAGTAGATAATCTTGAGTCTAGACTAGCCTGCAGAATTGAGACTGAGTGGAAAAAACTGGAAGCCACTGGGGATTTTTGAACAGGACAGAAACATGATTTTTTGCAGGATAGGAAACAGTGTTCTAAAAGCTTTATCCCACAGCAGAAGAAATGAAGCAAGGAGAACCTGGGTGGCAGGAAAACCAGACAAGAGCCCTGCCAACAAGGTCAAGAGGGCCTGCACCAAGTCACAGTGGTGGCAATGGAGGTGACAGAAAGCACTGAAGAAAGAGTTTAGCTATGGTCCAGATACGGATGGGGAAGGAAAGTTCAGAGTGGTCGAGGACTCCAAGGTTTTGAGCCTGGAAAGCTGAAATGGTGACCAAAAGGGAGAAAGCAGGAAGGACTGATGATGTGATAGATAACTGAGAGGTCCACAGAATATCTGGGTCCAGAAGGCTCCATGAACCTGGTGGGAAAAACTATTTTGAGAGAACGTCGATAGAGATGGTTGAAGGGATGACTTTGAGCAAAAGACAACACAGAAGAAATGTACATGTTCAAGGAAACAACCTTGACACTCACACATTAGATGTATTAGTTATATATTGCTGCATAACAAACTACCTCAAAGCTTAGCAACTTACAACTCAGGATTTCTGGGAGTGGTTCAGTTGGGTGATTTTGACTCTTCTGAGGTTGCCATCCAAACATTGGTCAAGCCTGAAATTGTATGAAGGCTTCAATGGGGCTAGAGAGTATGTTTCTAAGATATTCACTCATATGGCTGATGGCTGGAGGCCTCAGGTCCATGCCACATGAATAGCACATAGGGCTGCTTAAGTATTCTCATGACAAAGCAGCTGGCTTTCTCCAGAGTGAATGGTCCAAGAGAGAGAAAGAACAATGTCTTTTATGATCTAGCCTTGAAAGGCACATAACATCATTTATGTTATATCTATTAGTCAAATCACACTGACAGATACTGATTCAATGACGGAAAGGACTAATCAAGGGCATGGATGAGGATCAAGGAGATGAGGATTGCTGGGGGCCATATTGGAAGTTGGCTGCCATCCTGAGGGTAGAGGAAGAAGACAAGCAAAACTTAGAAAGTTGTGAAGGGTGGTTTCGTTGGGAGAAACAAGACTGCCACATGAGAAGGAATCTGTTGGCTCATCTGGCATTTTAAATAGGTTTTCGATCCCTTTCAAAACACTCCAGAAATGGTGCCTAGTAGTGGAGAAGCTCTGAGTCACAGAACAAGCTAGTATGTGCCTAGCAATGTGCCAAACTGCCATTGAAACTGGCACCATCATTTCACCACCACAGGCAAGGGTACTGAGGCTAAGGCCCAAGTTTTCATGGCCAGTTAGACATGGGACTGAAATCTGAACCCAAGTTGTTTGACTCATGAGCCTTCACTCTTGGCTTGAATGCCCCATGATGAGAGTACAGGGCCCTACATTCTTTTTCTGGAACTTCAAAGCAAGCCATACCCAGGTAAGCAAGAAAAGCAAGTGTGAGGAAAAGAAAGCTGCAGAAAGGGGAAGAGACTGATGTCCACCGAGCCCCCTATGTGCCAGGCACACATTGGAAGGAGAAATAGAGATATGCTTACCACCTTTGGAATCCATTGTGCTCTTGGTGGGCTGCTCAGTGAATTTCAGCAGTGGGGATCTTGACCTCTGGATGGTGGGAAGAGTGGACTCAGTAAACAGTATGGTATCCTTGCCTCCTGTCATGGAAAAGGGAGAAAATGGATATGTCATCTGTGGAATTGTGGCTACATTTTCTCTCACACAATTAACTTTGGGTGTTAGGGTCAACAGTGTGCTTTTTCATTCGTAAGTAAAGCTGTGGAAGGGAAATGGCCAGCAGGCCCTCTCTGTAGCGTGAGAACAAGAGCACTGAGAGTCCAAGGCTGGTTGTCTATGACCAAAGACCTTGACTCATTTCTGAGAGTCTGGTTGGGACATACTGCCCACAAATGCCACCATTAAAAGGCAGCCTGCTATGCTGGCATTAAACAGAGTGGCTTCTATCTGACTGAGATAAGAATAATTACAACAGCAGACTGTTTAGAAGCATGGGCTTTGGAACCACACTATGGTGTTTGTATTCTGGACTTTATCATTTGCTAGCTGAGGGACCCTGGGCCAGTCACTTAACTTGTCTGGGACTCAGACTCCTTTTCTGTAAAATGAGGAAGAATAACAAAACCCACCTGTAGAGGTGGTTGTAAGGATGAAATTGATCAATTCCTATAAGTACTTAGATGTTTAATTGGCGCTCAATAAATGTCACCAATTAAACCCATTACTTCATAGTGTCTGTCGCAGTGCCATAGATGCTCTTTCTGACTGAATTTAATGTGATATTTTATACTGAATAACAACTCTGTCATAAGGCAGGCAGTATTGGGTATTCCAAATTATCACAGCAAAACTTTCCCTTAGAACACAGAGTTAGTATGAACCCCCTAAGTAGACAACAGAAAGCGAGGGAGCAAATAGAAGAAGGAAAGGAAAACCAATGAAACTCAACTTCAGAGGCCATGGCAAGTCATGGAGTGAGGAGGAGGGAAATGTGGCTTTGATGCATGCATATAATGAACACACACAGACACAAAATACATGGTCATGAAATGAAGCTGCCTCAACTGGTCAAAAGAGCCCAACAGGCAGGATTTGATCCCAAACTTTGTTCCACAGGATTCAAGGGACTCTCTCAGTAGGAAGCACCATGCCCTCAATGAAACCCCCAGGGGACCACAGACCCAGCTATGTCCCAGTCTCTCTGACTTTGAGCAAGACCCTCTCTAAAGGTGGACAAAGCCAAATGACTACATGTCTCTGGGGCTCTGACTGTTGTTGTTGCTAGGTGCCATTGTGTCAGTCTCGACTTACGGTGACCCCATGTACACTGCCCTGTCCTGCATCATCCACATGATTGGCTGCAAATTCGACTGTTGTGGCCCACAGGGATTTTATTGGCCGTTTTATGGAAGTAAATTTGCAGGCTTTTCTTTGTAGTCCACTCTAGTCTGGAAGCTCCACTGAAACCAGTTCAGCATCATAGCAACACGTAAGTCTATACTGACAGATAGGTAGTGACTCTGTGTGAGGTGGACTGGCTGGGAAGCTAAGTCATGTCTCCTGCATGGAAGGCAAAAATTCAACCTCTGAATCACCACTGCCCTCGGGGGCTCTGATTAGAGGCTCTATGTGCTGATTCGGGTTTGGCGGAACACAGGATGATGTCCATGTAGAGATACCTACCTTGTCCTTGAAGAACCAGTGGAACCATAGACATAACTTGATCATTGTACCTCTGAGTCCCTTCCATGTGTTTTTAATACTGTCTTGTCATTACACCATGTGTTATTACCTTTGATTTCTAAGACAGAGAGCTTGGCACATGTTGTTGTGTTGTTAGGTACCGTTGAGTCAGCTCCGACTCCTAGCAACCCTATTCACTAGAACAAGACACTGGCCAGTCCTGCATCACCCTCACAATACTGGCTATGCTTGAGCCCATCATCACAGTCACTGTGTCAGTCCATCTTGTTGGCAGTCTTCTCCTTTTCCACTGACCCTCTGCTTTATCAAGGATGATATCCTTTTCTAGGGACTAATGCCTTCTGACAACGTGACCAAAGTATGTGAGACAAAGTGGCCTTTCTTGCTTCTAAGGAGCATTCCAACTATACTTCTTCCAAGACAAATTTGTTAATTCTTCTGGCAGTCCATGGTATCTTAAGTATTCTTTGCCAACATCACAATTCAAAGGCATTAACTCTTCTTTGGTCTTCCTTATTCATTATCCAGCTTTCACATGCTTATGAAGCTATTGAAAATACCATGGCTTAGGTCAGGTACACCTTAGTCTTCAAAGTGATATCTTTGCTTTTTAATACTTTAAAGAGGTCTTTTGGAGCAGATTTGCCCAATGCAATATGTCATCTGATTTGGCACATGTTGTTGTTGTTGTTGTTGTTGTTTGCTGTCGAGTCGGCCCTGACTCATAGCGACCCCTCCTTGGGTTTCCGAGGCAGTATCACTACGGAAGTAGGATTGCCCAACCTTCCTTCCGAGGAGTGGCTGGTGGATTTGAGCCGCCAGCCTTCTGGTGAGCAGTCAAGTGCTTCAGGAACTATGCTACCAGAGCTCCCTTGGCACATGGTAGGTGCTAAATAAATGCATTAGCTGCTTACTAAGAGATTCATCAGATGTTTATTTGGCACATGGTAGGTGCTAAATAAACATCTGATGACTCTCTTAGTAAGCGGCTAATGCATCCTTGGGAATTCTGACATCTTGGTGGACCAGAGGACTTGCTGCTGCCTCAGGCAGACGGAGTGCATCATTGATAGGCATTGATGTTGTTGGGTGCTGATGAGTCAATTTTTGACTCATAGTGACCCCATGTGACAGAGTGGAACTGCCCCACTGAGTTTCCTAGGCTGTGATCTTTACAGAAGCTGATTGCCTGGTCTTTCTCCCACAAAGCCAGTGGGTAGGTTCAAACCACCAACCTTTAGGTTAACAGCAAAGTGCTCAACTACTGTGCCACCAGGGCTTCTTATTAATAGGGGCAGCACCCTGACTTCTCTGTTATCTGAGGGTCATCCCAGAAGAGTGGAAACCTGATAGGAAGTCAACCCTGAAGTTCTATACCAACACTGTTATTGCAATGTCTCTTTTTGAAAAATGCTAGAAATCTTCAAGGCCACAGTCTGGGGAGTTTTCCCAAAGGGAACTGTTGACCTACAGCCTGGGATGTTGTTCAGAATCTTTGAGAATGAAGTCAGTATGATCAGGTCTCTCTTCGTGCTTCAAAGGCACAATCAAGAAACACCTAGAGGAGTTCGTGGTAATCCAGGCTTTGGTTACCACAATTTGATGGCAGATGCCTCTCCATCAAGACAATGGTTCCTCTCCTTAGGACAGGGAGATGACTGAATTTCTCGGCCCCTCTTTCTCTAGCAGGTGTGCAGGCAGCTCTCTAGCCCTCCAGGAATGTACCAAGAGGCAAACTCTACCCGACTGTTTTCCAACCTCTCTTCCAAATCCCCTTTGTCTTGTTGCAAAGGACCAGAATTATGGCCAGAGGTGAGAACTGGCTGCAGTCGAGTGACACAAGACAGCCTGAGGAAGATCTTCAGCCCTTCCTGCCATGAGGAAGCCATTAGGGCAGAAAGTCTCTACAGCCCTATCCAACCATTCAACCATCATCCACAATGGTTCCTTAAGAACATGGGTACCGGCAACAGTAAAACTCTCCAGAAAATCTGAGTAACAAGCATGTAAAGGAAATAGAAGCCACCATGCTCCCCACCTCCATATAGGTGGGGGAAAGAAAAACACTTCTCCAAATGTCCAGTTTAAGAGATTATTTCCTGATCCTAAGATAAAATGCTAAGATTTGATCTCTTACAAAATGTTTAAAGAATTCAAAGACCTCTGTTGGAAGAGTCTTAGTTCTATTAATCGTATTCAAGCACAGATTCTATCCATGTTGCCCAAACCAAGGTCTAATCTGATGATATACTGTCTCATGGTTCCGTCTTGATTCTTGGGTGGACTGGAGGTTGGGTAGCAGGGATGCGAGTGACACACAAACTACCGTCGGACTCCAACAAATGGAGAAGGCAAGTAAAGCCCTTATATTCAACCAGCATTTGTGTTTCTGGAATCTCTCCAGATACCTTACTGTACAAAGCCCCTCAGCCCCTTGTCCAGTGTACCAAGTAATATACCAAGTATTTAAAAACACATTTTTTTTTTTTTTTCTCCTCAGCTTGATGTCTAGGAGTGGAGGAAATGAAAGAACTAAAAGGAAAAGATCCAAGAACCAAGCTCTGGTCTTGCCAGATTATTTGCGGCCTTCAGTGTTTCTTTTTAGAGTGTGAACACAGCCCGGGAACCTCCCCTCGGTGTCAGCCAAACATCATTCTCCCTACACAGACCCACAGAGGGCTGCGAGGCAGAGGCCAGCAGGCAGGATGCTGACAGGATGGGGGCCATTCTTTCCTGAGGGGCTGACCTCTTCCCTTCATCCTCAGACCTGTTTTGTTTGTTATCGAGATGACTTCTCCATGCAGACTGTGCCATTTGTTAAACCTGTTTCACTTCTGTCTACTTCCCAGCAAGATGGCATGTTTGCTCCAATTCTAGAAAGCAACATCAAGAGCTATATACTGTTGGCTGACTGAGTGAGGAAGGGGCAAGGCAAAAGCCAAAGAAAAAACATAGCATATTCAGAATCCAACAGTCATTCTTCCTTACAATGAAGAGGTAGGCCCTTCACCATTGTTCTTTAGAGCCTCAGAAGAGATTGTTCTGGATTCTGAATTGCTCTTCTCCAAATAAACAGCTCCTTGACCTGGTCCCAGCTGCAGTAACCCACTACATTCCTCTCTTCTCTGAATTGCAGGTACCCAATGCAGGCAGAAAACACTAAAATGAAACTGAAGACCTGAGTTCTTATATCAGCCTCAGTGGCCTTGATACCATTGAACTTTCTGGGCCTCTGTTGCCTTACCAAACAAGGGATTAGACTAATCAGGAAAGGGAGAAATGCTTCCTTTCATATGTCAATTCTGACCAGGAAGTAGCTTCCTGGGAAGCCAATGAGGAGGACTGCTCTGAAGTCATATCGGACATCAACAAGGATGAACGTTGTGATTGTGTAGTAATGTCTGCCACTGGCGTGGGCATGGATGTTATCAAATATTCACCAAGTATTTATTACCCCTGAGCATTTTGCTCTCAACTGTCCTTCCAGGTCTAGCGTTGACTCCTCACCTCATTTTCTCACACACAAAGGTCTTTTTCACTCATTCAGTACTCAGCTATGTACCAGTCTACATTTTCCTCTCACTGCTTCATGTGTATTCATCTTGTTTCCCTAACAGGACTATAGATTCTTTGGGGCAGATAAGGAGCATGTCTAGAATGACACTAAATTCACAAGGTCAATGTTCAAAAAGTTACCAACACATTAATGGACTGATATCAAAGGAGACACCAAAAACCAAAAACCAAACTCACTGCCATTGAGTTGATTCTGACTCATAGTCACTACCATTGGGTTTCAGAGGCAGTAAATCTTTACAGAAGTAGTGGATTTGAACCATCAACTTCTGGTTAGCAGTCAAATGCCTTAGGCACTACGTCACCAGAGCTCCTTAAGGAGGCACTGTGATGGTTAATCTTGTGTTGACCTGGTTAGGCTATGGTGCTTAGTTGTTGGGTCAAATATTAGTCTATATCTTGCTGTGAAGGTATTTACATGTGATTAGCATTTAAATCAGTTGACTTAAACTAAGCAGATTACCTTCTATAAATTAGGTGGGCCTCATCCAATCACTTGAAAGCTTAAGGACAAAAAAACTGAGGTTTCCTGGGGAGGAAGGATTCTGTTTTGAGACTTTAAACAGACAAGACTACTGGAGTTATCAGTCTGTCACCTGAGCTGTGAATTTTTGGATCTGCCAGCCTCCACAATCACGTGAGCCAATTCCACAAAATAAATATCTCACTTATTCTGTATATATGTCTGTGTGTATATATGTGGATGCTTCAGAAAATAAGGCTGGCCATCTGCTTCCTAAAGGTCCCAGCCTTGAAAACCCCATGGAGCAGTTCTACTCTGCACACATGGGGTCACCATGAATAGGAACTTACTCAAAAGCAACTAACAACAGAAGCCGATTGCCAGGCCTTTCTTCTGCAGCCCTGCTGGGTGGGTTCAATCTGCCAGGCTTTAGGTTAATAGATGAGTGTAGACCTCTTGATCCACCCAGGAACCTGATTTGGGTCCTATGTCGGGGGAGGGGAAAGGAGAAGGAAGAAAAGAACATCTTTCTTCTTGCTCCCCTGGTCAGTAGTTACAAGGAGACACACGGAACAATGAACAGACAGAAGGGACCAATTTGGTATACTCTGGAAGAGCCTGATCCTCCCTTACTTTTACCACGGTTTGCAATGATCATAACATGTTGCTACACCCTAACATCCTTCATCACTGCACAAGGACGATGCTGTTGCCGTTATATAAACTTTAGAAGAGCTGGGCAATCGCCACTCTTTGTCCTGTCCTCCCACTTGAATCTACATGGGGGCCAAAGATGAGAGCAAATGTGGCCACCGCATAAAATCCAGTCACTTTCCCCAAAGCTAAGTTTACAATTTAATGTTTGCTTTGTACTAATCAAATTCTCTATTTCCCTTGACTATTCTCATCAGAAAAGTTCAAGGATACAGAGAGAATGCATTCCTAGTTATCTACATGCAGGGATGATGTTAATGCATTGCTAAATTAGCCACATAAACAGATATTTCAAATAGAACATACTCCCAAATCCCACTGACACATTGTAGCTCAGGCCTTCAGGCAGCAAAAAAAGAAAGAAAGAGACAAGGTTATTGCATAATAGCCATTCAAGAGCTCACCGTCAGAGTTAGCAAATTCTCAGCTTTCATATACTTACTCAACGTCTATATGTTTGTTTATATAGGCTGTAGAAATAAAACATGGAATAATTTCACCAAGTCATTTTGGGAAGAAAAAAAAAATCAAAACTTCTGTGTAAAAAAAAAAACACAGAAATGACAATCTCACTATATGAATGAACAAGAACTTGACCAGTGCTGATATGTAAAGCAATTAAAGAAAGGCCTTCTGATGAAGATAAGGTTTTAAATGCAGCACAAGATTCTTATGGAAAATGGATCATTCAAATGCCCAGGATGGCACTGGCCTCTAATTAGTTTTGTTGGGTCTTTTGACATCAAGTTCAAGGAATCTCTGCTGAAAATTCCAATTTGTGAAACACACTCCAAGGCAGCCTAAGGTGGCTATTCGATTTACATGAAGAAAAGCAGGTGGTGGAAGTTGTCCACCTCCCAGTGGTAATGTCCATTTATTGTGTATTACAAGGAAGTAACCCCTGAGTCAAGGGTGGAGGAGACTGGTTTGTGTAGAAAGGTTAAGTAACTAAAAATACATGTATAATGTTGCTCCCAGGGAACGAGGACGGGGTGAGAAATGATAAGTATAAGTTTCTGAAAAGTATGTAGACAAAGGGGACGAGCTGACAGTGTCCTCAGGAAGGGGCTATTACACCAAAACAGACGGGATAAATAGAGCTAATTAAAGGGAAACATCAGACTTGCCCCAGACTTCGTTCGACTGAAAATCTCCGCAGGAAATTTTGATTTTTCAAATGGGATCGGGGAAGGAAGGAGAAGCAGGTTAGCAGATTTTGTGAGGCATTCTGGGCATAGAGGGGTGAGTTTGAAAACCCATTGGTTCTCACATCATTTTTACGACCCATGGTTAAAATGAACAAATTTCATTAAGTTTCATATTCATTTTCAGGACTGATGATTAAATTGAGCAAATCTTTATGACATGAAGGGAAAAGAAATGAAACAATTTACTATGTTCACAAAAGTTAAAAAAAAAAAATTATACAAACACATACATTGAACATTTTAGAATACAGCTTAACAGACCAGCCCAGTTCCACAGACAAGAGCGGGAATATGTGAATACTGTTTGCATTTTTCTGATTTCCCCTCCTGAATGGTGGTTTCTAAGTTTGAAGCATTCACAGATGTCCCAGCAATGATCATCTTCCAATAAAATGACATCGAAAAGGTAGAATCTTTTGTTCAAATCACGTGAGAGCTGCCTTTATTTTAAAAAGGAAAACAATTTTTATGAAGTTCTGCTTACCCGGAAGACTCCACAAACCAGAAACTTCCAGAGTTCTTAATTTTTTCTCTAGTTCAGCCACCCGGTTGCCTAGGATTCTGTGGAAGGAAAGGAAACAAGAACAGGTGAGTGAGTGTCCTGTCAGCTCTCAGGGCTGAAAAGCTCCCTGGGAAACCCACCAGGGTCCTACGGTTTTTAGGTGCTGTCAAGTCAATTCCAACTCATAGCTGCTCTTTGTGACTGAATAGGAGCAGCTCCTAGGGTTTTCTTGGCTGCAATCTTTACGAAATGGAGTCCTAGTGGCGCAGCAGTGAAGTGCTCAGCTGCTAACCATGAGGTCAGCAATTCGCACTCACCAACTGCTCTGCAGTGATCTGCTCCTATAAACACTTCAGCCTAGGACGTCCTAGGGGACAGCTCTGCTCTGTCCTCTAGGGTCACTGAGTCCCAATCAAGTTGATGGCACCCAACGACAATCTTTTCAGAAGCAGACCACCATGTCCTTCTTCCATGGAGCCCCTGCATAAGTGTGAACTGACAATCTTTAGGTTAGCAGCTGAGTGCTTAAGCACTGTGCCACCAGGGCTCCCTTCAGTAACCCTAACCGGGAGATTTAAGATACATGCTAAAAGTGAAGCATTTCGTGTATGTTAAAAAAAATAAATAAACTCAATGCCATCGAGTTGATTCCAACTCATAGCGACCCCCTTTGGGTTTCCAAGGTGGTAAATATTTACAGAATTAGATTGCCCAATCTTCCTTCCAAGGGCTGGCTGGTAGGTTTGATCTGCCAACCAGAGCTCCAGGTATGTAAATAAGGTACCTATATATTACCTTATTTTCTTATCTATTGAAAGAGCTCTGGTAGCATAGTGCCTAAGGCACTTGACTGCTAACCAGAAGGCTGGTGGTTCAAACTCACCAGCTACTCCTCAGAAGGAAGATGGGGCAATCT